TTCTAAAGGCTCATAAACTTTTTCCATAAGTTATTGATAAGGAATTAAACAAAGTTTGACATAATATTTTACTAAAATGTAAATAGATTTTATTTTAAAATCATGATGCTCCTTTTCTATTGTTTTACTCTCATTTCCTGTCTAAAGGTATGAATAACTTTGGACTTAATATAACTTCATAACAAAGTTTTTATTCCTATAGTAGCAGAGTATAAAATTCCAGACGTCTCATCAGACAACTTTGATCTGAAATAGAACATCCACACAAACAAGGAATCTCAAATTTTCTTCTTCTGTGATCTAAAAGGGAGAGTGTGACCTGGCATGGACAGTCAGAACAAACATGCAGGCGCTTCTGTCTCCATGTTTCATCACTCTGTTCTTCTAGACAACCTGACGCTGCTGAATAGTTGCAGAGGAGTGTTCCTACCGTATATAGAAAAAACATGATGAGCTTTTTGAGTCTTAATTAACTCTGCCAGGTCTGAAAACATGGGAGAGGAATTTCAAATTGACAAGCTTCTAGATGGCTCCCTGCATGAAAGATCTGCTATAACATCAGTTCTTCCCAGTGCAGAACAAATGCTGCCTTTAACCGTCTTCAGGTCCAGTTGAAGTTGAAGAACCTGAAGGTTTTATTTCAAGTAGCAATACAAGCCAACAACTATGTCTCCTTTAAATGCATGAGGGCCACTGAGACATAATAGCACACAAGCTGCCAGAAGAGCTAACAAGTTTTTCCTACGATTTATTTGCATGTCAGCTACATAGAGAATGTGAACCTCAGGTCTGCTGTAAAACCTGCAGCTTTCAGGAGAATTAATCAGCAGGAGGTTCCTGTTGTACTTCCAACTTCCAAATATAAACTGAGTACACTTTAACTGCATATATTGAATTACTTACATATAAGTGGCATTATACTTATATCCCAATGTATTGAGAGAATAGCATTGTGTTTCCTGTTCTGGTGGACTTTTGTTTCAGGATCTTATTGTGTTTCTGGGTCTAAAAGTGATACAATAGTTTTGAGTTTGAAGCAGTCGGTTCAATATAAATATGTCATTCATGCACCTCTGCTGAGCCAGTCTGTGTGGTTCTAATCCATCATGCTGGTTGAAGGGAACATGAGGAACCTACTTTCTCGGTAAGGGCAGAACAAGGGTGAGGTGGTATGTGGGAACTCGTTGTCATCTGATGTGGTTCCCAGTGGCGGTTTTGACAGGATGTCAGCTGAGTAGCAGGACTTGAGCTCAGTCAGAGAGATGGACAGGTCGCACATTGTGGCATTGGAGCGGATGCAGTGAAGGTTCCTCTTTCTGTCTCCTCCAGCCCTACAGCACAGACCAAACAAAAGTTTGTTACTAATAAAACTGTAACACACACATCCTGATACTTCTATGCAAACTCATTACTTTGTATTGACTGCCATTCACTTTTGTAACCCTATTAGTGTATTCCTAACCCTAATCTTAACCAAAACGTCATTCACATTCCACTAGTTCTAAATCAAACTAGTGGAGCTGAGTTGGTCACTCGGGTAGAGCAGCAAGTTAGAGTTCTAAAGCCTTCAATGAGTAAATCTCAGAGGGAATCATTATGGCTTTTTTAACAGGGAAGTATTCTGTATTTTCCAGGTGCATAGTGCAACTTTATAGCACAATCTATGTAACTATGTTAACTTCAGCTGTTAAAAAAATGTGGTATATGTGGAAGGCCCACTAGCGTCTCTACTTCCTTGGGAGGCTGTGGACAGCTGGACTTGTGGACTGAGTCCTGAGGAGCTTCTATCGCTGTGTGGTGGAGAGCGTTCTCTCCACCTGCATCACCGTGTGGCACAGCAGCTGCACTGCCGCTGAGAGGACGGCTCTGCAGTGGGTGGTTAAAGCTCCACAGAGGATTGTGGGGAGCAGCCTTTCCTCCACCTCGGACCTCTACACATCACGATGCAGGAGGAGGATGCTCCAAATCGTGAAGGACTCCACCCATCCTGCACACAGTCTGCTCCAGCTCCTTCCTTCAGGCAGAAGGCTGAGGAGCATCCAGAACAAGACCACCGGGCTGAGAAACGGTTTCTTCCCTTCAGCCATCAGATTCTTGAACTCAAGCTGCACCTAACACAGCTTCATCTCATGAATTATTTACACACACACACACAACAGTTTTTTAATATACATGTCCATATATCACTTCCTCCCAAAGTCCAAAAACATGACTCTCAGGTTAATTGACCTCTCCAAATTGCCCGTAGGTGTGTTTGTGTGTGTATGGTTGTGTGTCCTGTCTGTCTCTGTGTTGCCCTGCGACAGACTGGCGACCTGTCCAGGGTGACCCCGCCTCTCGCCTGGAACGTTAGCTGGAGATGGGGACCAGCACCTCCCAATCCCACTAAGGGACAAGGATGTTAGAAAATGGATGTATGGATGTCCATATATCACATAAATTACTTTATTATTTGTGTATAAAATTTGTTAATCTGGGACATGAGTCTGAATTTTGAACCACAAACAAGCAAAGGTGATCTGGCAATAAAAAAAATCTTTGAATCCTTGAATCCTATATATATAAATTATGACTTAAAATAAATTTTACTTGAATTTTACCTTGAAATTGGTTCTCTGTCTCTTTAAAAACTCTTAAAAAGTTCTTTCTGATTCTCCACCAGTCATCACAACATGGCTCCTCTATTAACCCTTTAACAGTGGTTTTAGCAGTGCTGCACTGAGACGTTGCTCCTATAATGAGCTCAGCAGACATGCAGATCCATCAGTTTGCTGTTGACAAGTCTGAAGGACCTGAGCTGAGAAGTGATGGAGGAATGTTGGAAACTGCAGCTCTTAAGAACTGTGTATCTGGAAGGTGGTGCTAAGTCCACCAAGGCATTTTGGACAGCTGAATGGTTGCCACTGGAGATTAAAGAATTTTTCAAAAATGCATGGAAGAATCAAAGCGACACTTCAGATATGTTTCTGACATACAACATGATGTAAAGCTCAAAAACATCATGAGCAGGGTTAGATTAAATTGAAAGCGACTGACTTGTGTCACTGCATGATGCTTCACTCCATCAGGGTCTTCAGATTCTTCTATAAATCAGATACAACTAAAGAACTTTCACTTAAAGAAGTTACTGTAGTGACAAGGAAGGTTACCATGGTTTCCACACAGCAAATCCAGCAGACCCAAATTAACTCTGTCAGATTTGATTTCAACACTTTTAAAGTGTCTGTATGGGTCCACACCAGAAAATGTTAATTTAACTCTTTTTGGAGAGTGTCAAATACCAAATCTGTCTGGTCATCTAACATTAACCCAGTGTTAAATCTTAAATATTAACTCTCCCAGAGTATTTTTTTTTAATTTTATAAGAGTTATTTTTAATTAATACTAGATAGATATACTTTTTATTATTTGAACTTTTAAAAATTATTTGGAAAATAAAGATTTAATAAAGAGGCAATAATTTTCTGAGATGCATTTATTTCAAAACATGCACCATAATTAGAAACAGGGGGGTAGAGTTAACCTGCCCTGACCCTTAGAAAACATGTAACAACGTGGAATAACGTACGTTCATGTTACACACGTCGCTTTCATTCATATATTGCTTATCAAAAGGTCTGACTGTGCAAAAAACAGTATGGTTACTACATTTTTCTTCAATACAACATGTATGAAATTAAAATTGGAGTTTGGCCGGGGACACCAATACGTACTGCGCTGGACAGTCTTGAGTAAGACAGCCAGTTTTGGTCTCTGGGTCATAACAAACAAAAAACATAAGGATGAAAAATGGAACAAAGGAATACATTTTTATGGAGTTTTAGAAATATTAACACTTAACCATTTTTGGAGCATGAATCTTCAAAGAAGCCATGGAGGGGTGGGGAGGCGAGAGTGACCGATGCTGATGACTGGAGATTCATCCTCAAGCAAAGTGGTCTTAATATCTAGAATGACAGTCAATGACAGTGCAACAGGCCCAATGCACACAAACTATCTGAGTAAAACAAAAGCTCTGCCATTTCCAACAATACTAGAATCACCAAGCTACGTGCAAAACTCACTGAACCAGCAGCTAAAGAAGATGAAAAAAAAGCTAATTTCACAAAGCTAAAAGCATAAATTCAGTCCTACCTTTTTGTGTCATGTTCATAATCCATGTTAGAGTAAATATTTCCACACTCGTGATTTCTCACTATTTTCAACTTTTCAGTCTCCATGGATACTGCCTATATACTCAAACTGTTATTAATTGCAAATAATACTTATAGCAAGATATATGTTGGAGGGGAAAAAAAACAAATAAATAAAAAAAGAGAGAGAAATTTGTAATTGCACACAATGGTGCCAAAATTTCCAAAAATGGCATATTTAGAATGTTCACCTGGAATTTTATCAACCAATTCCTTTCTAAAATGTCTGTGCTTCATTTTTTTGGAATGAAATTTGATCCAGTAAGTGGTCAGAACCTGTATTGTAGGTTCTGGGTTTCCACTGCATGTTTTAAGGAAGATCCACAATATGTAATGTATTTTATTACAATTTATTATTTTTATTTTGTACTTTTTGTGCCACTGTGTGCCATATGCATTTGGAATACAAATGTTGATTTTTAGACCTTTAAAATATTCTCTGGAATATTACCTTCATTTTGATACCTGAACCAGTCAAATACACCTTGTAGTTCCTGAGATATATGGAAGTCGTTTTCGAGAACTGCCCAGAAAATCTACAAAAAAGATGCTTGGTTAGCTAAGAGCTACTAAAGCCAAATAAATTAAATCTCCCCTTTGTCCTGCTGCACAGTGCAGCGAATTTAACTCATTGTGCAGGGCCTGTCCAAGTTTGCATGAAGCCTTGAGCAGAATTTTACTTAGAGGCTCCTCTTCTTGGTAAGAACATCAGCAGCACTAACAGCTTTTCAACATGGATTTAGTCAATTCTGGGAGGAAGGGGTAGTTTAATTGACCAATCTAAAAAGTAATAATTGTAGTTTAGTAAGATGTATTTGTGAACAAACAGAGATCAATGTCAAAGATTAAACTCATAGCATCAGATTGTAGCTATGGTAACAAAACAATCTAATTGTGAATATTGTTCTTTGAACCTTTACAAAGTAAACTTGTTGTCTCTGACTGTCGGGTGGAGCTGACAGTCAGAATCACAACTCGCTTCAACATTTGTCTTATTTAATTAGTACAAATTGTAATCCATAATTTATTATTAATTAATAAAGCCGAGCTCAATCTCTAATGAGGCAATGAAGAAACTTTTCACACAAGTTTCTTTACTGACATGCTTATTTCTAATCGAGTCTGAGAATTTATTAACTAAATAGCCCAACTTTACAGCTGAATTATTCTGTGTCGGGTGGAGCTGACTGCTCCACCCGACAGTCAGCTCCTAATGTTAACATTTAAATCTTTTAATGTATGTATGCTGAAACCATTCAATCAAATTTAGCAGCATTGATCATCTCAATAAACAAATGTTACATTTACATGTCTGTGGTCTGTGTTAAAATATTAGCATTTATGGGGCCCCTGAAGCCCTGGGGGGCCTGATGGAGCCACTGACTTAATTTAGATTAAACAAAAGTGCAAATAATTGATATTCATTTTAATTGTATTTTTTTAATTAGTTGTTTTTAAGTTGTGGATTTAACTATCGTTTCACTGGCGATGTTTTCCTGTAGCCCATAATTATCCAGTAATATTTTTACATTTCCTGTCTACTTAGCATCTTTTAATAAAAAAAATAAAAAAAAATAAAAATACGGTGGACTGCCGGGCTTAGCAAGTTTTCTGAGGGAGACCTTGCAATTTGTTATAGAAATAGAGGGCCCCAAAATTTATTTCGCCTAGGGCCCAATGGGCCAGCACTGCCTCCCACAGGGGGGGGCGATAAAAGCATGGTGACCTGCCAGGCTTATAATACACTGAGTAAAATCCTGCTGTTAAATAGACTCGTTTATTTTATTCAACCAAAACGAAAAAACAAACTACCTGAAAATACACGGACCCAACATGAGAATGATCGGCAATCACAGATCAGACACTTCTTCACGGAAATTGGCCGTTTATGATCGGTGGCCAATCAATCGGCCCTCTAGTCCAAAACTGACCGTTAGGTTGATTGATCTCTCTAATGGCTGTTTGTCCTGTGCAGGGTCTGAACTACATATTATTCAGGTGGATGTGAACACATAAATCGGTGCTCCCCCCACCGGTGAAGGTGAAGGAGCACACGTGCTACATTTCTCAGGTGGATGTGTACACAACATACGCTCACTCTACCTGCCCCCCACCCCCTGCCCCCCCACGCACTTTTTGTGCCAGTGCTGCCCTGCGATGGTGACCTGTCCTGGGTCACCCCGCCTCTCATTTGTAGATAAGCCCCAGTGCCCCTCCCTACGTGGGGAGGTGATGAGGAATGTTAATTCTGACTGAAATTCACGTCATGTACTAGCAATATTATTAAAATAATATAAATAATGACTGCTGCCCCCCAAATATCCTGTGTGGTATTTTGTATATAAGTATTTATCAGTAATAAAGCCAACAAATGTAATTTGTTAAAACTACAACAGATACTCGTTTCTTTCTAAGTACACACAGAGAAGTTTCAATCAATCAACAAATTCCATGTATTTTTTTTACATTAAATTAGTTTTTTTTATTTTATTTTATTCAGACATTGAAGAGATGTTTGCATTAGAAGAACAGCAAGAGTAACAAAAAAAAATCTTAAAAATGCATAAGTTTGGTAGACAGATATAAAGAGAAGCTCTTTTTAATGCCTAAGTTTGTTTTGGAAGTTTTTTAAAGCAGCATTTATAAAAACATCTAGAAGACGTTCAAGAACCTTCATACAACATTCTGAAGTATGCACTTTGTCTAAGAAGAAACAAATTAAAATTTAATAAAATAAAAAAAATAACAGTCATAAAAGTTTTAAAGATATAAAAACTAAATCAAGTGAGATGACAGCAAAAAAAGAAAAAAAAGAAAAAAGAAAATTAATTGAGAACGAATGTTCAGAGTGAATGTTCAGACAATGTTTGCTGAGCGTCAGGTCCAAACATTCGACGTTCGACTTTCAGACGACGTTCACAGACGTCTTGCAAACATTTGCTTGTTAGCTGGGCTGTATGTATTTATGAAACTTTCAGTATTCATGTTTTAGTTCTAACAAATTGCATTATATTTATTTCATAAAGATTTAGTCAACTCTTGATGCGCTTTTTGTAAAGCTATTTTCCGTCTTCATATCACTTTACAAATATTTATCTGCTTCTGGGATTTTTTCTGGCCCCTCCTGAACTAAAAATGTCTGGGGCCAACATTCTTGTAATGGGGCATATTTGTAAAGAGGATTAGCTCCATCATCAGAGAACACAAGACATGCTGCAAGTTCAGAAACATTCTGGTACTTACACAAAAAACTCCACAGTGTATGAGTAATCCGCAGAGGGCTGGGGTCCCCAGCTCAGGACAGTTTTAAAGTTGGTGGAGCTCCAAGTGACATTCTGAGCCCGGGGATATGAGTATGCAGCCCCTGTTGGTTGAACAGGTTTTAGTTAGACTTGTTTTCAGGAGTCAGAAAATGTGTTAGAGTATTCCATCTTTTACTGGAAATGGGACTGAAAGTTTAGATTGAATTTTTGTTATTATTCATTTAATTACTAATCTGACTATGTGCTGATCCAGGAGTGAATGCTTCAAATCAGTGACTTGATGGAATCTGCTGGGTTTCCAAAGAAAGAAAGCTTCTTAAACCATTTCAATAATGAACTGAAATTCATGCACTGTTCAATAAAGGGAGATATGATTGGACTGAACTGATGCCTTGTATTTTATTTAAATATACTCAACTGAATTTAAGTTTTAACATCAAGCATTTATTTTAATGCCGAGGTAATAAGGACGGTCCCAGCTAAGGTTTACCTAGTTAAACCATACCAAGTTTATTTATTTAGCACTTTAAAAAAAAACGTAGCACAACAGAAGACAGAGATAAAAACACAAACATAAGCAATCAATCACAAACTCACAACGAGCTAAATGAACATGAAGAAGGTCGATAAGCAGCGAACTACATGATCCCATTTACACCTTAAATAAGCCTATTGGCTTCATAAACTAAGAAACTAACACTGTCGGAAGCCTTTGACTGCGGAAATATAGATATAGAAATATAGATATAGATGTGCAAATCAGCACATAAGTGGAACGATAAGCCACTGAAAGATGAAGTATTCTCTCTGATCATTTTATTCAGCTTGACTAAACCTTAGATCTAACTGGAATTTCATGAAATAACTTTTTCCCGCAGACCTGACCAGAGAATAACTTCAAATCAAAGATCAGAAACATCTTCCAAACTGAACTCACCGGACGCGCAGTGTGTGGAGAGCAGGACCATGAGGAGAGATGTTTGGAGCTTCATTCTGTCAAATACAAAGAAACAAAGTCCAGTTCAGCTTGTCGGGGTTTATCCTGCTCTTCCTCCTCTTTTATTCTCTCTTACAATACTGAGTTCACCAGAAAGCGCCGCTTTTAGAGCTGAGTCTCGGCGCGGGGTTTGACCAAATAAGGGCTGTCCGGCTATGACGTCAACATACTACATTTATGGCTGCGTACTGCACTGATTACGTCATCCATACTAGTGTAATCTGGTGCACAATACAGAGCTGTCATGGAAAAGGAATGCTCTCCTTTTATCATTATTATTATTATTATTATTATTATTATTGCACCAATCATGTTGGCAGAATGTTGGAGAAAGATAAAATAAATCTTTATTGTCGTTGTCAGTCTTCTGCAAGGTGCAGAGAAACGGTGTGAAGAATTAAAACGATGCTCAGAATAAAATTTGTGTATAAAAAGTACAACTATAAATTATGAATTTCTTTCTTTTCTGTCTCATTGCACTTTAAATAAACACAAAGCAATTTTTATTTTTTATTTTATTCAGTGGAGCATTGTAGGGAAATCTGCAATTCTCCACTTGTGAAAGTAAATCTGTTGGGTTTCTCCTTGGCACTCAGACAATTATCCTGAGTGTCACTCCGTACTCATAAACAGCATAGTACCTGCATATTGAGTTTTTAGCATGTTATGACAGTTATGAGACTGTTTTAAAGCAACAGTGTCTTCAATCTGAAGGCCTCTTCAGATTTGTTGCAAGACTTACAGCTACTGGAAATCTTTCCTGCCACCACACCATCCACAATTACTCTTTGAAGATACAAAAACATTTGAATACAATTCAATTTTATTTATATAATGGGAATTCACCACAAATGTTATCTTAAGGCACTTTGCAAAAACAATTATAAACATATTTCAATTTATCCTAGTTATCAAACAATACAATATGCTCTATTATTCAGTTTCTATCTAAGGAAAGCCAGCAGTTCGGATCTTGTAGCATTCACTCCTTAGGAACGAACACACAGCAACACCAGCTTGCATTGTCTTTTTGTCGTTGTCTGTACAGCAATCCCTCATACCCAGCATGCATGTAGAGATAGTGGAAAGAAAAAACTCCCATTTAACAGGAATAAACTTCCAGCTCAGTAAAAGTGGCCACCTGCCATGACCAACTAGAGAGGAAAGAGAAAATTGCACAAGAAGAAACAGAAGAACTGATGGAGGATTATTTTTGATGTTCATGAAAGTAAATTGTTAATAACAGGAGAGGGAGAACAGTTAAGTGATGTCAACATTATCTCAGCTGATGCACTCCTACAGAAAGGAATCACAGCCAAACAGAATACTAGACCAGGAGTAGCTTCTCCAGAGAGAAAAATAACTGAAGAAAACAAAAAATTAACAGCTGNTACATTTCTCAGGTGGATGTGTACACAACATACGCTCACTCTACCTGCCCCCCACCCCCTGCCCCCCCACGCACTTTTTGTGCCAGTGCTGCCCTGCGATGGTGACCTGTCCTGGGTCACCCCGCCTCTCATTTGTAGATAAGCCCCAGTGCCCCTCCCTACGTGGGGAGGTGATGAGGAATGTTAATTCTGACTGAAATTCACGTCATGTACTAGCAATATTATTAAAATAATATAAATAATGACTGCTGCCCCCCAAATATCCTGTGTGGTATTTTGTATATAAGTATTTATCAGTAATAAAGCCAACAAATGTAATTTGTTAAAACTACAACAGATACTCGTTTCTTTCTAAGTACACACAGAGAAGTTTCAATCAATCAACAAATTCCATGTATTTTTTTTACATTAAATTAGTTTTTTTTATTTTATTTTATTCAGACATTGAAGAGATGTTTGCATTAGAAGAACAGCAAGAGTAACAAAAAAAAATCTTAAAAATGCATAAGTTTGGTAGACAGATATAAAGAGAAGCTCTTTTTAATGCCTAAGTTTGTTTTGGAAGTTTTTTAAAGCAGCATTTATAAAAACATCTAGAAGACGTTCAAGAACCTTCATACAACATTCTGAAGTATGCACTTTGTCTAAGAAGAAACAAATTAAAATTTAATAAAATAAAAAAAATAACAGTCATAAAAGTTTTAAAGATATAAAAACTAAATCAAGTGAGATGACAGCAAAAAAAGAAAAAAAAGAAAAAAGAAAATTAATTGAGAACGAATGTTCAGAGTGAATGTTCAGACAATGTTTGCTGAGCGTCAGGTCCAAACATTCGACGTTCGACTTTCAGACGACGTTCACAGACGTCTTGCAAACATTTGCTTGTTAGCTGGGCTGTATGTATTTATGAAACTTTCAGTATTCATGTTTTAGTTCTAACAAATTGCATTATATTTATTTCATAAAGATTTAGTCAACTCTTGATGCGCTTTTTGTAAAGCTATTTTCCGTCTTCATATCACTTTACAAATATTTATCTGCTTCTGGGATTTTTTCTGGCCCCTCCTGAACTAAAAATGTCTGGGGCCAACATTCTTGTAATGGGGCATATTTGTAAAGAGGATTAGCTCCATCATCAGAGAACACAAGACATGCTGCAAGTTCAGAAACATTCTGGTACTTACACAAAAAACTCCACAGTGTATGAGTAATCCGCAGAGGGCTGGGGTCCCCAGCTCAGGACAGTTTTAAAGTTGGTGGAGCTCCAAGTGACATTCTGAGCCCGGGGATATGAGTATGCAGCCCCTGTTGGTTGAACAGGTTTTAGTTAGACTTGTTTTCAGGAGTCAGAAAATGTGTTAGAGTATTCCATCTTTTACTGGAAATGGGACTGAAAGTTTAGATTGAATTTTTGTTATTATTCATTTAATTACTAATCTGACTATGTGCTGATCCAGGAGTGAATGCTTCAAATCAGTGACTTGATGGAATCTGCTGGGTTTCCAAAGAAAGAAAGCTTCTTAAACCATTTCAATAATGAACTGAAATTCATGCACTGTTCAATAAAGGGAGATATGATTGGACTGAACTGATGCCTTGTATTTTATTTAAATATACTCAACTGAATTTAAGTTTTAACATCAAGCATTTATTTTAATGCCGAGGTAATAAGGACGGTCCCAGCTAAGGTTTACCTAGTTAAACCATACCAAGTTTATTTATTTAGCACTTTAAAAAAAAACGTAGCACAACAGAAGACAGAGATAAAAACACAAACATAAGCAATCAATCACAAACTCACAACGAGCTAAATGAACATGAAGAAGGTCGATAAGCAGCGAACTACATGATCCCATTTACACCTTAAATAAGCCTATTGGCTTCATAAACTAAGAAACTAACACTGTCGGAAGCCTTTGACTGCGGAAATATAGATATAGAAATATAGATATAGATGTGCAAATCAGCACATAAGTGGAACGATAAGCCACTGAAAGATGAAGTATTCTCTCTGATCATTTTATTCAGCTTGACTAAACCTTAGATCTAACTGGAATTTCATGAAATAACTTTTTCCCGCAGACCTGACCAGAGAATAACTTCAAATCAAAGATCAGAAACATCTTCCAAACTGAACTCACCGGACGCGCAGTGTGTGGAGAGCAGGACCATGAGGAGAGATGTTTGGAGCTTCATTCTGTCAAATACAAAGAAACAAAGTCCAGTTCAGCTTGTCGGGGTTTATCCTGCTCTTCCTCCTCTTTTATTCTCTCTTACAATACTGAGTTCACCAGAAAGCGCCGCTTTTAGAGCTGAGTCTCGGCGCGGGGTTTGACCAAATAAGGGCTGTCCGGCTATGACGTCAACATACTACATTTATGGCTGCGTACTGCACTGATTACGTCATCCATACTAGTGTAATCTGGTGCACAATACAGAGCTGTCATGGAAAAGGAATGCTCTCCTTTTATTATTATTATTATTATTATTATTATTATTATTATTATTGCACCAATCATGTTGGCAGAATGTTGGAGAAAGATAAAATAAATCTTTATTGTCGTTGTCAGTCTTCTGCAAGGTGCAGAGAAACGGTGTGAAGAATTAAAACGATGCTCAGAATAAAATTTGTGTATAAAAAGTACAACTATAAATTATGAATTTCTTTCTTTTCTGTCTCATTGCACTTTAAATAAACACAAAGCAATTTTTATTTTTTATTTTATTCAGTGGAGCATTGTAGGGAAATCTGCAATTCTCCACTTGTGAAAGTAAATCTGTTGGGTTTCTCCTTGGCACTCAGACAATTATCCTGAGTGTCACTCCGTACTCATAAACAGCATAGTACCTGCATATTGAGTTTTTAGCATGTTATGACAGTTATGAGACTGTTTTAAAGCAACAGTGTCTTCAATCTGAAGGCCTCTTCAGATTTGTTGCAAGACTTACAGCTACTGGAAATCTTTCCTGCCACCACACCATCCACAATTACTCTTTGAAGATACAAAAACATTTGAATACAATTCAATTTTATTTATATAATGGGAATTCACCACAAATGTTATCTTAAGGCACTTTGCAAAAACAATTATAAACATATTTCAATTTATCCTAGTTATCAAACAATACAATATGCTCTATTATTCAGTTTCTATCTAAGGAAAGCCAGCAGTTCGGATCTTGTAGCATTCACTCCTTAGGAACGAACACACAGCAACACCAGCTTGCATTGTCTTTTTGTCGTTGTCTGTACAGCAATCCCTCATACCCAGCATGCATGTAGAGATAGTGGAAAGAAAAAACTCCCATTTAACAGGAATAAACTTCCAGCTCAGTAAAAGTGGCCACCTGCCATGACCAACTAGAGAGGAAAGAGAAAATTGCACAAGAAGAAACAGAAGAACTGATGGAGGATTATTTTTGATGTTCATGAAAGTAAATTGTTAATAACAGGAGAGGGAGAACAGTTAAGTGATGTCAACATTATCTCAGCTGATGCACTCCTACAGAAAGGAATCACAGCCAAACAGAATACTAGACCAGGAGTAGCTTCTCCAGAGAGAAAAATAACTGAAGAAAACAAAAAATTAACAGCTGAAGGAACAGCAAATAATGCAAATTGGAGAGTTGTAGAAGAAAATGAGAAAAAGTGGTCAGAGGACAATTTTTCCAGTAGCTTTTCTGCAGAATACATAAGTAGCACAGGATAACATAAGCTATACTAATAAACTTTATCAAAAAGGAAAGTTTTAAGCCTAGTCATTAAGTTTAATATCTAAAATTAATTACATTATTTATTCCTTTACCATCATTATTACTGTTGTTGTTGACTGTAGCAGTAGCACTGGTCACAGTACATCAGTGACTAAAAACATTAGTAGTTTCACATTCCAACTATCAAGAGTGGAAACTATAAGGTTTGTCTGGCAGCTGGTATGACCATAGTCATGTCTATGGGTATGACCAGGACAGGATCTGATTGGCCACGGAGTAAACTCTGGAGTGCAGCCATGTTTTCAGAACATCTAGTAGCCAGCCAGAACCGGGACTGAAGGGGAAGAGGAAGCTGGGGGGGTCATATTGTGTGTAGGGTGTTTTCAGTCCAGTATTCTATTAGTCCAAACTAATAGAAAAACGTCTCCCCGCTCCCTCAGCAAAAACCGTACCATTACAATACAGTTTTGGAACAGTGGTAATTATGTAAAATTAAATTATTGACCAATATAAAAGATACATTTGTTTAGTTCTCTCTTGCATCTTGACAGAACTGACAGAAACCAAACTGTTTATCCAGGAAGAATACATGTTTTATATCTGAAGGCATGGGCAATTTTCTCAAATATTTATAGAAATCAGGAAAGAAAAAAGAGCACCATTTTTGTGGCAGGTCCAGCAATGGAACAGTCTGGTTTTGTGGACATGACTCAGTCCATAGTAATGTTGCCGACAGGAGCATCACTAGCTGCAGTGGCTAGTGATGCAGTGTTCAAATATGGAGAAATCATTCAACAGCTAAAATCTGACACCGCTCCATTTTTGTTTACATTTTGTGGAGAAGGAAGTTGCACTGGTCTTCTCCAGAAGTTTTGTGTTGATTCCCTACACTGTAAAAAAGAAAACGTGGATTTTACGGTAAAATGGGGACAGATGGGGTTGCCAAAATTCCACCTTTAAGCAAAAAACAGATTTTACCTGTAATTGTTTTTTACGGTTGAATTTCGGCAACCCCGGCTGCCGGCGTTTTACCGTAAAACAAACAAAAAAAGATTTTACCTGTATGTTATAATGGAGTCTAATTTCTTGATCCACATGCAGAACACCAGGCGGAGAACAGAAATCAGTTAAATAAGTTTATTGTAAACACAAAATAATGATCAACAATCGGGATCTAAGGAAAGTCTGCAATCTGGATCACCGGAGCACTGGGAGGTAAAAAAAGAGAGATGGTGAGTTCAGGGATTGTGGAAAACGGCAGTGTCAGACTAAACGGACTGGTCTTACATGGGTGGAGGTAGATCTTGTCTGTAGGTAAGAATCACTATGGTTACTGGGGTTTGGTTCAGGTGGAGGGTTGCTGCTTCACCGACGAAGAGACTACGGTGGAGGGTGGACAGGTAAGCTTTAGATCACAGGAGGTGAGGAGCGAGTGAGACTGACGACAGGGTATCCTGGTATTGGTATCCAGGGTATTTGGTTTCCTGCGAAGATGTCAGTGGAACTCTGGCAACCAGTGGGTCCACAGCATCATGAGGAATAACCTGAGGAAGAAGGATCACTTGAGGTCCACAACAGGCAATCACAGTGAGAAGCTTGGAGGGCTGGAGTACCAAATACTGGCTAACACAATGGAGCTGAAGTGTCTGCAGCTCCGTCCTCATATACTCCTCCAGATGATCTGATTAATTGCAGCTGTGCAGGAATCCCGGAACCACGGCAACGCCCTCAGGAGGAAACAGTCTCTTGGCACCCTCTGGTGGTAAAAGAGGGGGAAAGCTGCAAAAAGGAACCGTTCCAACAACCTGGGTTCTCAACGCCGTAAATTGTTTTTAAGGTGGAATTTCGCCAACCCCAGCTGCCGGCATTTTACCGTAAAATCTAAGTTTCTTTCTTACATTGTGGGGTTGCCATAATTCCACCGTAAAATTACAGTAAAATGCTGGCTGTGAGTATTTTACTGTATTTTATAAAATACGGCAAAGTTCTGTCGACCAAAACTTCCAGTATTTTCTAAAATACGATAAATGTCTGTCAACCACAGCTGCCAGTATCTTACCGTATTTACTAAAATACGGTAAGATACTGGCAGCTGTGGTTTTCCCTTAGTAAAATTGGCCATGTAGTTTTGGTAAATTAACGATGCTGACAGAAGTGAAAAATTAGGTGGCATCGCCCTTTACCCAACTTCACCTTCACCCAAGCAGCAGGGCCTATCATACAGTCCTCTAAATGTGACAAGTCTATGGTCGATTTGTCTCTCACAAAGATGGTGGCGTTGGCTGTAGGAGTTTGCCCTGCAATCAGTGGATTAGTTTGATACCTGGTCTTCCTTTGAGATTTCAGTTTGATATATCAAAGTCTTTATAGATTAATTTTTTAAAAAACAAAGTATCACACCAGCATTCTAATCTATGTAAATTACTTTGCAGTCTGGTTTATGCTTTTACATCATAGATATAAACATCAGCAAGGGGTGCTGTGGTGGCGCAGGGGTGAAGCACAACCCATGAATTGAGGCCTTAGTCCTCATGCCGGTGGTTGTGTGATGGATTGAAATTTAGTAAGTTCAGAGGCTGCCTAGTCTGATTTGGCTGAAGCAGTGGTCAGATTCAACCAGCAGGGGGAGTAGCTATAGTGAAGAGCACCGGAACTTCCTCCTTAGATAATAATAAGTGCTGGAACAGAAGCACCGTGTCTGGCGCTTTTATTAAAATTCTCCCCTTCTTCAGGTATGAGAGTATATATATATATATATATA